ATTTATCAATGGCAGAGAAGCGACAAAAATGACGCTGTAGGTCACATGACAGAAACAAAATGGCACATGTAGTACATCCGAATTGAATCCATACTACACATACTCATACTATATAGAGCGTACTTTTGTAGCGGTCGCGAAGTAAGTTCGAATTCAAATGTATTACTTTCAGACTGAGTACGTTGGTCTGATTAAGCCCCGCCCCCTCAAGCTCACGCTCATCTGCATACAAGTTTGAATGCCACGCCCACATCTCAGCATCCAATCAACAACCGATGCACAGAATCAAGCGGCCGCCCGACACTTTTTCTTTTTCGATAATCTGAATGATAATCACAATCAAAATGTTATTTTAGTGTCATTGAGATACTTATTGTAGTTTTTAATTTATATTTTGAATTAGATTTAATTAGTGCTGTCAAATCGATTAATTGTAATTAATTGCATCCAACATAAAACTTTGTTTATATATACATATATATGTGTTTATATATATATATATATATATATACACATGTATATATACACATATATAATATATTATATATTTGCGTGTATGTCTATATATAAATATACATGCAAATATATATATTATATATATGTGTGTATATATATATATATACATACACACACATATAAATAGACATAGACGCAAATATATAATATATTATATATATATATATACACTCACCGGCCACTTTATTAGGTACCCCATGCTAGTAACGGGTTGGACCCCCTTTTGCCTTCAGAACTGCCTTAATTCTTCGTGGCATAGATTCAACAAGGTGCTGGAAGCATTCCTCAGGGAGTTTGGTCCATATTGACATGACATCACACAGTTGCCGCAGATTTGTCGGCTGCACATCCATGATGCGAATCTCCCGTTCCACCACATCCCAAAGATGCTCTATTGGGTTGAGATCTGGTGACTGTGGAGGCCATTTTAGTACAGTGAACTCATTGTCATGTTCAAGAAACCAATTTGAAATGATTAGAGCTTTGTGACATGGTGGAAGTAGCCATCAGAGGATGGGTACATGGTGGCCATAAAGGGATGGACATGGTCAGAAACAATGCTCAGGTAGGCCGTGGCATTTAAACGATGCCCAATTGGCACTAAGGGGCCTAAAGTGTGCCAGGAAAACATCCCCCACACCATTACACCACCACCACCAGCCTGCACAGTGGTAACAAGGCATGATGGTTCCATGTTCTCATTCTGTTTACGCCAAATTCTGACTCTAACATCTGAATGTCTCAACAGAAATCGAGACTCATCAGACCAGGCAACATTTTTCCAGTCTTCAACTGTTCAATTTTGGTGAGCTCTTGCAAATTGTAGCCTCTTCTTCCTATTTGTAGTGGAGATGAGTGGTACCCGGTGGAGTCTTCTGCTGTTGTAGCCCATCCGCCTCAAGGTTGTGCGTGTTGTGGCTTCACAAATGCTTTGCTGCATACCTCGGTTCTAACGAGTGGTTATTTCAGTCACTGTTGCCCTTCTATCAGCTCGAACCAGTCTGGCCATTCTCCTCTGACCTCTGGCATCAACAAGGCATTTCCGCCCACAGAACTGCCGCTCACTGGATGTTTTTTCTTTTTCAGACCATTCTCTGTAAACCCTAGAGATGGTTGTGCGTGAAAATCCCAGTAGATTAGCAGTTTCTGAAATACTCAGACCAGCCCTTCTGGCACCAACAATCATGCCACGTTCAAAGTCACTCAAATCAACTTTCTTCCCCATACTGATGCTCGGTTTGAACTGCAGGAGATTGTCTTGACCATGTCTACATGCCTAAATGCACTGAGTTGCCGCCATGTGATTGGCTGCTTAGAAATTAAGTGTTAACGAGCAGTTGGACAGGTGTACCTAATAAAGTGGCCGGTGAGTGTATATATATATGAGTTTATATATAGACATGTATATATATATATATATATATATATATATAAAGTATATATACACATACACCCATATATATTTACAACCTTATGTTAGATGTGATTAATCGCTATTAATTAATTTTGACAGCACTATAGTTATATTTTTATGTTGTGTTTTTGTCATTTTTTATTATTGTAGTATTTTTCTATTAAGTTTAACTAAATTAAAACGAGAAATGCCGCCTTGGCTTATCAAATAGGTTTAAGTTTTTTATATTTTATTTTATTTCAAGTTAAGAAAAAAATTATGGTTTTAGTTAATTATAATAATAATTCTGGTCACAATACAGAGAAAAAATCTGTTGCTACTTCCGTTTCATTGCAACTCATTTCATAAGCACATCAAGTTAAACTAAAAGAAAATGAGAAATGTTTGCTTTGGCAACTAGCTGAAATAAAATAATAAGTTTATGTTTTTTAAAATAGTTTAATTAGATTATTTATATGCATAATTTAATCAATCATAAATAAATAAGCAAACAAACTTAATTTATTAAAATAATTTGAAGTCATCATTTGGCCCCTAAAAAGTTTGATTGGTCTAAAAATGCATCTATGAATCGCAATATTTTATTTTATTTCAGTTCGTTAACTCTTTCCCTGCCATTTACGGTAATCAAAACACAGGCGAAGAAGAAGCAGAAACAAGCGATAGAAGCACATATAAAATAACGGGATCATCAGACGTTAAACCGCATATAAATCAAATCTGCCGAATGTTACGTCGAACCCATGAAGAGGAAACGACTGTGAAGCTCTGAGGATGTTAATGGACTCGATCTGACGCTGGCGGGAAAAGTATGGAAGCTTGTTTCCGCCACCGAATAAAAAAATAAATAAAGTAATTGCGACTTTTTATCGGAATTGCGTGAAATAAAGTCGCAATTGTGAGATATAAACTCGGAATTGCGAGAAAATTCGCAATTTGTAATTTTTTTCTCAGAATTGCGAGTTTATATCTCGCAATTCTGACTTTATAACACGTAATTTGAAAATATAAAGTCGCAACTGTGTGTTATAAAGTCCGAATTGTGAGATATAAACTCGCAATTCTGAGGTAAAATTCTGAGGGTCTTTTTTCCTTTAGAATTGGACTTTATAACACCCAATTGTGTTTATTTCTCGCAAATCTGACTATATCTCGCAATTCTGACTTTATAATACGCAATTGTGTTTATTTCTCACAATTTTGACTTTATAACATGCAATTGTGTTTATTTCTCGCAATTCTGACTATATCTCGCAATTCTGACTTTATAATATGCAATTGTGTTTATTTCTCACAATTCTGACTTTATAACACCCAATTGTGTTTATTTCTCGCAATTCTGACTATATCTCGCAATTCTTCTCGCAATTCTGACTTTATAATACGCAATTGTGTTTATTTCTCACAATTCTGACTTTATAACATGCAATTGTGTTTATTTCTCGCAATTCTGACTATATCTCGCAATTCTGACTTTATAATATGCAATTGTGTTTATTTCTCGCAATTCTGACTTTATAACTATAATTGTTTATTTCTTGCAATTCTGACTTTATAACATGCAATTGTTATTTCACGTGTTTATTTCTCGCAATTCTGACCTTATATCACGCAATTCTGACTTTATAATACGCAATTGTGTTTATTTCTCACAATTTTGACTTTATAACATGCAATTGTGTTTATTTCTCGCAATTCTGACTATATCTCGCAATTCTGACTTTATAATATGCAATTGTGTTTATTTCTCACAATTCTGACTTTATAACACCCAATTGTGTTTATTTCTCGCAATTCTGACTATATCTCGCAATTCTGACTTTATAATATGCAATTGTGTTTATTTCTCACAATTCTGACTTTAAAACATGCAATTGTGTTTATTTCTCGCAATTCTGACTTTATAACTATAATTGTTTATTTCTTGCAATTCTGACTTTATAACACGCAATTGTTATTTCACGTGTTTATTTCTCGCAATTCTGACCTTATATCACGCAATTCTGACTTTATAATACGCAATTGTGTTTATTTCTTGCAATTCTGACTTTATAACACACAATTGCGACTTTATATCACGCAATTGCACACAAAAACTCGCAATTGAGATAAAAAGTCGCAATTATCTTTTAAAATGTTTTATTCTGTGGTGGAAACAGGCTTCCATAGAAAAGACTTAACATTTATAATGAAAACCTTTTTTTCATGGTTTTAGTTTTGGTCAACTCTAACCCTGTGAAAATGAGTGAGTGCATTTAAGAAAGTTGCATGCAGTTCGCAAATAATGGACTGGTTGAAGTTATTTCTCCTGATTATTTGTTGAATATCCGTTAGTGTTTCACAGTCGATGAGTGTGTTACGAAGGTACGTGTAGTTTTGCATATCTCCTTTAATTGCGGTGTGAATATTACACGGATGTTCTCTGACTCCACAGACGTTGACGAGTGTAATTTCGAGGAGAGCTGCCGGAGAGAACTGGGTAACGTGTGTGTGAACACAGAGGGAAGCTACACGTGTGTGTGTCAAGCGGGATTCAGAGAGGACCGGGCCGCGTGTGTCGGTGTGTGTCGTTGTATTATTAACCTGTGTGTCTTACGCTGATTTATCATTCTCTCTGTGTCTGAAATGAATCTAGAATCAGGTGTTTGTGTGTGTGTGTGAGTGTGAGAGAGTGTGTTTGTGTGTGTGTGTGTGCGAGTGAGTGAGTGTGTGTGCGAGTGTGAGAGAGTGTGTTAGTGTGTGTGTGTAAGTGAGTGAGTGTGCGAGTGTGTTAGTGTGTGTGTGTGTGTGAGTGAGTGAGTGTGTGCGAGTGTGAGAGAGTGAGTGAGTGTGCGAGTGTGTGTGTTTGTGTGAGTGTGTGTGTGTGAGTAAATGAGTGTGTGAGTGTGTGTGCGAGTGTGAGAGAGTGTGTTAGTGCGTGTGAGTGAGTAAGTGAGTGTGCGAGTGAGTGCGTGTGAGAGAGTGTGTTAGTGTTGTGAATTAATTAGAATAGAAATGTTTAAATGATTAATTCTAATAATAACAGAAACAGTGTTGTCATTTATAAGGTTGTTCAGCTTTAAGAAAAGTCCACCCAAAATGCTTAGGGGACTGAGCGCGCAGATAGAACTAGAGAGAGAAGAGAGAAAGGAAAATGACTCCATGTTTGTGCGCTGTATCAACGTGTAATCCTGTTCATTAACTTCAGTAAACAGTTCGTTTTATTTAATTCAAGTCGTCAGTGGTCATTACTGCTTGTTAAGGAAGAAAAGATACGACAGTCTTTGGTGCCGAAAACCCGGGATAACTTGCAGGCAACATCCGAAATGGCGGAGCGACTTGAAAGACTACTCAGAAAACGGAGAGCTGTACGCGGTTCCACAACGAGACTTTTGCAAGACGTAGAAACAGAGGTTGGCAAAGAAGATCCGATCGTTGACAGATTATGTGAACTGTTAGCCCTGTTATCTGCAAAAGAGGAAACGCTACTGGAGTTGAATCGCGAAATACAGGAGTGTACAGAAATGGATGATTTGGAGAATGACGTTGTTGATGCGGAGGAGTATGGAGAGCGAGTCGTCAGCGCGAAAGCTCGCGTGCAGCGCAGAGAATCCGGGAAAGCACTAACAGCAGGCCGTGTGACGCAGTGCCATTGCAGCGCGGACAAACAGTTAAGTTACCCAAGTTAATTATCAGCAAGTTCAGCGGTGAAATTAGCTTGTGGCAAGACTTTTGGAATCAGTTTGAAACCGCTATTCACAGAAACGACGCGCTGAGCAAAACAGAGAAGTTTAATTACTTAACCCTCTGGGGTCCTTCATTTCAGAGTCACACTCAGGACCTTCGGGTCCAAATGGGCCGGAAGGGTGGGATTAATATTTATAAAAAAAAATCATCTTTTTTTTTTTTTACTTGTTTTTTTATAATATTTTTTCTTTTCTTTTTTGGTGTTTTGAGATAATTTCAAAAATAAAAATGATTTATAATTAATATTAATGCAATAATTATGACCCATTTTTTCCCCATTGAATATAATAGAAATTTAAAAAATATATTTTTAAATTTTTTTTAAATTTTTTTAAAGCTGTATTTCATTTTAGAGTCAAGCCTAGGCCTCATGAAAGCAATTTTTGAAATGAGATGGATGCCATCTGGTGGACAAACTGAGCATTTTAAAAATTCAAAACCCATATGTAATCTGAATTTATTAGTGTGTATGTGTATAAAAGTGTGTTTGTGTGTGTGTGTGTGTGTGTGTGTGTGTGTGGATGTGTCTGTTTTGCACTCTTGATGTTTTATAGATTCACCCCTTCACTGTTGTGTGCTTTTTTTCTGGATCGTGGCTGATTTGTAGTTTGTACGCACAAAATAACTCTGTATTTTCACATTTTTGCCAATTTCCCATTCATTTCCTATGCGGGTCCATTTGGACCCGAAGGTCCTGAGTGTGACTATTTTTTTTACAACCACTTAGACTATTCAAATCCTGTCCCCAATTTTTTGGGGTGTTCATATGCCAAGTACCAACAAAGTCACCAAATTTCGGACCATTCCGATAAAGCTATTATTTAAAAAAAAAAAAAAATTAAATGCTTCGGGTCCATTTGGGCCGAAGGACCCCAGAGGGTTAAAGACATACGTAACCGGCGCTGCTTCAAAGGCAATAGCGGGACTGATGTTGACAGACGGTAATTACGATCACGCGATCGATCTGCTTCAGAACCGGTTCGGAAGAAAGGATCTGCTCATTAATACCCATATGACCAAGTTGTTGAATCTCTGCCCAGTAAAGAAATCACACGATGTGAGTGCTCTGAGACAACTTTATGATGAATGTGAAGTACAGATCCGTAGCTTAGAATCGCTGGGTGTTGCATCAGAGGCATACGGCAGCCTGCTATGCCCTGTTCTGCTACAGATGATTCCAGACGACATTATACTCCAGTACAGTCGCCAAAGAGGAACCAGTGATGAATGGAAGGTCTCAGAAGTTATGGAATTTCTACAGAAAGAGATTTTGAGCAGAAAAAGAGCCATGCAACTGATTAAGCCAGGTAATTCCAAAGACAGCCAGAGCTATCAAAAACCATTTAAAAGACCAGACACATCAATTGAAATGAAGCAGAAAAAGCATCACATGCCGTCAGCTGCAGTACTGCAAACCACCAGTCAAAGAATACAGATATGTCTTTTCTGTGACAGTGCAGCACACAAAACAGAACTGTGTCCAGGAACTGATTTTGCTGCTCGAAAAGTAACATTGATGAAACTGGGACGATGCTTTGTTTGTCTTGGGCCGAAAAACACATTGCAAGATTCTGTAAGGCCAAGGTGGGCTGTAATGTGTGTGGAGGCAGACATCATAGTGCTGTGTGTGAGAAAGGAGAAACAAACACTTCAGACACTGACGACAAAGATGATGTAGTTTCTTCATTTGCTTCGCATTCTGTTAAGATACAGCCCAATAAACAGAACACTGTGCTTCTTCAGACTGTTAGAGCATGGGCAGAAGGACCTGGTGGACGTAAAAGCATTCGCTGCCTACTGGATGGGGGCAGTCAGAGAAGCTTCATCAGTGAGAACACAGTAAGAGCTTTAAAATTGCCTGTGACAAAGCAAGAAACGTTCACTCTTCATACTTTTGGCTCTGCAGCACCAGTAACATCAAGGCGCAACACAGTGAAAGTAATTCTACAAAGCATCTGGAACAAAGAGCAGAAGGTGGAAGTAGAAGCGCTCGAGACCCCCCAAGTGTGCACTGCTGTGATGAAGATTCCAGGTGAGCACATCCAAGCAGAGTTGAAACGAAAAGGCTTGCAGTTGGCAGACTACCCAGACCCCAGCACTTGTGATACAGAGTTGTCCATGCTGATTGGTGCAGACTATTATTGGCATATAGTGTCAGGCCAAGTGGAAAGAATCACAGATGCACTTGTGGCCATTGAGAGCATTTTTGGATGGTCAGTGCAGGGCCCAGTCACAATGTCCAGTGTTTCCGACACAGCATGCATGCACATACAAATTAATGAAGACACGCTGGTCTCAGAACGTCTGAAAGCCTTCTGGGAAATAGAGTCCCTTGGCATTACCATGCAGCAGACAGACAGCCTTGAAGAAGAGGAGGCTCTTCACATGTTTGAAAAAACTACTCAGTACAAAAACGGGCGATATGAAGTTGAGCTGCCATGGCGACCTGACAAACCAGAACTCCCAGATAACTACAGAATCGCAAGGAAAAGATTTGAAGGACTTAAAAGAAAGTGGCGGTCAGATGTAGTGTTGTATCACAGATATAATGAAGTTGTGAATGAATACCTCAAGCAAGGCATCGTCGAAGACGTGATGGAGGATGGATCGGCTCCAAACACTGTAAAGTATTACATGCCTCATCATGCTGTTCTTCGGGAGGACAAGGTAACAACAAAGCTCAGAGTAGTGTTTGATGCTTCATCACATGACATTGGCTTTCCATCATTGAATGACTGTCTACTTACTGGTCCTAACCGGAATCCAGATCTGCTCAGCATACTAATAAAATTCAGACTGAATGAGATTGCATTTACCGCAGACATCAAGAAGGCCTTCTTGCAGATTTCTCTTGCTGAGAAGGACAGAGATGCAGTGCGGTTCCTCTGGCTCACTGCACCACCCCATGGAGACGCAGGTGAGACGCTGCGTGTGCTACGGATGACGAGAGTGGTGTTTGGAGTGTCCCCCAGCCCATTCCTCCTGGCAGCTACAGTGAGAAAGCATCTGAAGGAATATGAAGACCAACTTCCTGAGGTAGTAAAGACAATAAAAGAATCACTTTATGTTGATGACTTAATCTCAAGTGCAAGTGATGTTGAAAATGCCTTCTCCATAACTACTGGTGCAAGGGAGATTATGTCTGCAGCTGGCATGGACCTTTGCAAGTGGACAACCAACTGTAATGCATTGAAGGAGAAATGGAAGACGACAATGAGTGAACTTGCAGAGGAGACAGAAACGCATGGATCAGTGCTGAAGGTACTAGGCTTGGCATGGAGAACTAAAACAGATGAATTTGTCTTTGACCTGACTGCACTGCTGGATGCTGTAGCTAAAAGAGAGAATACTAAAAGAAGTGTTCTAAAGCTCTCTGCTCGCATATTCGACCCAATAGGCTTTCTTACCCCATTCACTGTGCGAGTAAAATGCCTTTTCCAAGAGATGTGGATACGAGGCCTTGGCTGGGACGAGGAGCTGCCCACTGATCTTGCACAAGAATGGAAAGGATGGTGTTCAGAACTTCCACAGATCCACCACATACACATTCCTCGTTGGTATGGAATAAAATCAGTGCACAGACACGACGCACATCAACTCCACGTGTTTTGTGATGCAAGCGAGAAAGCTTATAGCACTGTCGCTTAGCCTGCGAGTAGCTGAGGATGGAGCAAAGACCACATGCCTTGTTGCTTCTAAGTCCAGGGTAGCCCCCCTGAAGAAGATCTCACTGCCCCGTCTTGAGCTGATGGGAGCAGTGATTGGAGCAAGACTAGGAAACAGTCTGTTAAAGCCTCTGAATCTGGAGCTACATCAAGTTCATATGTGGACGGATTCGATGATTGTGCTGCAGTGGATTCGCAGTCCAGCTCACAAATGGAAACAGTTTGTGTCAAACCGAGTGTCAGAAATCCAGTCTTTAACTAATCCTGCAATGTGGTCTCACTGTAAAGGCAAGTTCAATCCTGCGGACCTTCCCACCAGAGGTCAGACTGCAACTAACCCGAAGGAAAGTGAACTGTGGTGGAAAGGACCTCAGTGTTTCCGCTACATTCATTCTGCCGTGGCGGGCCGCCACACCTAAAATCATCCCGCCACGGCTGCAGCTTCTCGGTCCGATATTGTATGTGTTATTGTTAAGCCCCACTAAAGGCATACAAAACATTGTAAAGCACCATAAAGTTTTCGCACTATATTCCAAGACTTCTAAAGTCATTCAATAGCATAATGTGAGGTAAAAATGTATATTTAAGTCGTTAAGTTAAAGTTAATGGAAACTCACATCTCCTCCGTCATTCTTCATTCAGCATTCAAACAGCACGTCACGTTCGGGTACGACAGTAA